CCCCAAAACCCCAAAACCCCAAAACCCCAAAACCCCATTTAAAGGAGAAATATTTGAAATTGATACTAAAAATATACAAAATGATGCTTCCATGGGTCTTGGTACCCCAACAAAGCAAGTATGTGCTTGAGAGATTTGGTAGATTTGCCAAGATCCTCGAGCCTGGAATCAACCTCAAGATTCCTATTATCGATATAGTATCTTATAAGCACAGTTTTAAGGAACAGGTCATCAACGTTGATAACCAAAATGCTATCACTAAGGATAATGTCAAACTTAGAATAGACGGAGTGCTATACTACAAGATGACAGATGCTCAGAAGGCATCCTACAGTGTGAAGAATCCTATCTCAGCATTGTCCCTTCTTGCCCAGACAAGCATGAGGAGTGAGATCGGTCTGATCGAGCTAGATAGAACATTTGAGGAAAGAGAAAACCTTAACTCAAGAATTAGAGAAACACTGAGTGATGCTAGTGAGACTTGGGGAATTAAGTGTATGAGGTACGAGATCAAAGATATCCAACCTCCAAAGGAAATCAGCAGGTCAATGGAACTCCAGGCGGAAAGTGAGAGGAATAAGAGAAGTACTATCCTCCAAAGTGAAGGACAAAGACAAGCTGTTGTCAATATTGCAGAGGGAGAGAAATCAGCAGCTATTTTAAAGGCGGAAGGAGATGCTACGAAAACACTTCAGGAAGCGAGAGCTATTATCACTGCTCTAGAAACTATCTCTAAGTCAGTGTCCAACGACGAGAATATGGTTTCTCTGAAACTAAAGCTCACCGAAAAATATCTTGAAGCAATGAACATTATTATGTCTGAGAGTAAAGTAGTTGTACTTCCTCCTTCAAGTGGGAGTTCAAGTCTTTCAAGCCAGATCGCCACAGGACTTGAGTTGTACAAAGATATAGTCAACAATAGCGATACTGGAGCTGCTAGCTCTCTCTTGGGCGATAAATCTCAGTACAATGATATCCAAGAGAAACTTGAGAAGCTAAATTCAAGCCAAAGTGAATCAAGAACCACTGCTGCGAAATCAGTCCCGAAGTATGAGTTTTTGGATGACAAAAATTTATACTAAGTTGGATCATTTAAGCTACAGTTCTATCAGAGGAATAAGATAAGGGGTTTTGGGGTTTTGGGGTTTTGGGGG